TATATATATATATATATATTTATATATATATATATACTGAAATTAGAAAAGTTTCCTATATATTTAGATTAGACATCATTATTTGATTTGAATTGAACACCGAAAGTCATGTTCTATTGTTTCATTAGATTCAAATTCGACATGATTGCAGAGATAGGAAGTTCAATGACAATGGCCATTTATTTGAAAAATCAGAAACTATATTTTTTTTATTTAAATTTTTTAGATAACATATACTATAAATATTAAATTTATATATATATTGTACGTCTTTTATGACAGCCAACAAACTCTCATTAAAGATTTTGCCCACATTTATTTGGTTTTGGAGACCTTTTCTTACGTACAACATTGCTACATGTCTAATAAAATGTTACACTTGGTGAAATACATCATGTTGATTTAAACTGAGATTTAAATAAATGCGTATCCATTAAATATACATACACATGGGTGTGTGTTATTATGTGTAGATCAATGGTATAAAACTACATAGTGTATTTCATCTGGTTTAGGTTCTACAAAACCGTTTCTACAGCCATCACACTCCAACCTTTTCGGGTTTATTTTTTACTAGATTAGAAAAATAATTATTGCCTACATTTTAAATTGTATCTATTTAAGAGTTTTAAACACATTAAAAAACCTAATAAATATGCATAGGAGTAATTATATGTGAATTCTCTCTTTATGAATTATTTGTTTTGTTTGTGAGAGTAAATGTTTGGAATAATTTATGAGTATCGAAGGCAACATTGGAAAAGAGTGATCGATGTACAGTAGAACCTCGATAAATTAATAACATCTTTTAATAATTTCTTTCGATACCGATTGAGTAAAAACATATTAAATTACTAGTTCAACTTCAACATTGCCATTTTTGTGCTTGATTTACCTCAACTTCAACATAAGGATTTTAAGACCAATTACTAACATGATTTATGTCAATGATGGTGAAGAAAAAAACAAATGAAAATTTTCAATATAGTTTTTGAATAAATCAAATTTGTATTTACTCTTTTAATATCTACTGCTACAGCTAGCCAGGCCACCGTTGTATCAAGGTGGACTCCGACCTACACTCTGATCCATTTCTTTTACACTAGATTATATCTTGCTTATTTAGATTATAGAGTAAATTACAACCGACTCCTGAGGTATGGTCACTTTACGAAAAACACTCTTTTGTTTGGATAATTACATCTACCACTTCAACTATGATCTTTTCTTACACCTCCACCCTTATGGTGTCAAATTCAATATAATCATCTAGATTTCGTGGAATGTGCTCTAGTTTATACTCGTTTTGTGTAAAAATACAGTTTTTAATGTACCACAATCTGATATATACAAGTCAAAAAAACACATATTATAATTGTCTTGCTTCAAAATGTAGAGTTCGAATGGGATAAAACGGGTACAAAAATGATAATATTCCATATAATCTCAAAGATTCCACAAGGGTGAACGTGTAAGAAGATTTATAGTTGAGTTTAGAACAATCGTTCTTGAGTAGTTTGGTTTGAATTCAGCCTATTAAAATACTGATTTTTAGAAAGTTTCTTCAACACACAAAATTTTGTACAATCTTTGAACATAAAAAACACTATGTTGGTATTTAAAGTAGACTATTCACTAGTAGAATTTCACCAACTAGAAGTCCAAATATATGTGGTGGTACATTGAAATGGTCAATTTAAATTTCTAAAATAGAAAAGAAAAAATAAAAGGAAACGGTCAATTTAAAGGGGGGTAAGAAATAAATGGCAACAACTAATTTTGGTGCACCGACTCTTTCAAACGTAAATGCAACCGCATGGGTTTCTCGCTATTTAATTTGCCAGATACATCACCACATGCGGGGCATGTAACTCTTTAATTACAATATTATACATCCATGCCATCTACCTTTCATCATATATATGGTCTTTTGATAATTTATTATTGATACGGGATACAAAATACAAGGACTATTTCAGTTACAATACAAAGTAACACAATTATTCTTGGAAACGAGGTGAACACAACGAGGTTTTGGACTTTTACAAGACGCGAAAATGAAGAGTGGGTTTTTGCAGCTAGCAATATACATGAGAGACTAGAAACGTTGTGATGCAAAAAAATGAATTGGAATAGAATTTTATTGATTGAATGATTCAAATGGTGTTTTTTGGAATTTATATATTATATATTTGAGTAAATTACAATTACCTCCCTGAGGTAAAGTGTGTAATTACGAAAATAAATCTTTCTTTTTGAGATATTACATCCAACCCCTGTAATTTGTAAATTTCGTACAACAATACCCCTACAAATTGTAATCCACAAATTACAAGGGGATGGATGTAATTATGTAAAAATATGGGTTTTTTTTTTTTTTTTTACGTAGTCATTTCCTCAGTGGAGTGTTTGTAATTTACCTATATATTTTCAAAGGTTATAACTACAAGTCACATCTCAGGAATATGATAACTTTAAAATGTGCCACATCTCATATGATTAAACGCCTACTATATTTAAGTAGTGTTTAAAGTTTAAACAACTCCATATTTTCAACGGTCACTATATATTCACCTTGCATTTTAATTTCCATTTATTTATTTGAGTAATTTAATTAATTTCGCATTCACCAACAAAAGAATTGAGAAACTAAATTCAGTGTCCGCATGGGTGTATCTCAACTGGTTCCGGAGGTAGTAAGTTGGTGCGAGAAACTAAATTTAGTCCATTTAAATTCTCAACCAAAATTGAGTCAAAGAAAAAACGGTGAAAGATCCAATATATGTTTGTTGCCAATAATTAATAATGAAAATATTTGTTGTCCTTATCCATGCATATATTATGCAACTGTAATATTATTTTGTGAAAAACAATAAATGATTTTTATTCTCTTATTTAAGGAGTTCTTATAATTTATTGAATGGAATTATGAATTTATTGCTTTAAATGATTTTAATCTGAGTAACTCACAAGTTTGTTTAATTTAGCGGATCCTATGATCATGATTCCAATCAACCAGAAGTTTGGTACTACTATCTACTATGTTAATTACTTTATTTAATAACAACAACAATAATATTAATAGTATAAAAACTTTATTTTTTTTCAGCTTCTAAATTTATTTTATTTGGTGAAACAACATAAAATTCCCCACTAGATTATGCCATTAATTGTATATATAAATTTCTATAAGAAATTGATAGTGTGACAATTATTATTATGTACTCTGAATATTGTACCTACCGGTCATTTATATATGTTTTACATTAATTATTTGAAACATGTATGATTCAAGTTATATAAGTTTTATGGAAATATAAATTGTTGTGAGTTCTTTTTATACAATGCATTTATAGTTCCACAGGCCACAAACAATTATAGTAAATATGGTTGAAATGTCAACAACATGACAATAGTAAAAAAAATCAACATTTTCAAAATTCAAAATGAAAAATATTGTTTCAAAATAAACTGTACTGATCGAAATTGTCGAATTCAAAAACTTTCGCTCCAATTTCCACAATGTGGTAACTCGTTCACACCATTAGATGGAATAGTAATATAAGGAAGAGTCGCGCGAACTTTGTGGATGACGCGTAACAGAAGCGTAGGGATTGATTTGACGAATTAGTTCTACGAAACAAAGAAACGCTAAAACATCATAATTATACTAATGAAAAATAAATAACACCTAAAAAACGAAAATTTGCGAAAAAACGGCAAAAAACAACTTAACACCTAAACTTATTAGAATTTTAAATTCCGGAAACAACCCAATTTGCAAAACCACAATCTAAATTTTGTGTAAAAATATAAATAGAGGGCAAATTACGGCAATCATGTAAAATTACGAAAAAAAATCCCTCCTATTAAAGTAATTACGACCACCCTTCAATCGGGTTTTCGGGTTTCGGGTTTGTCTTACACGTCTATCCTTACGATGTTAAATTTACCTACTTTAGGATGGGTTTTTTCATAAAGTAATGCATAGTTGAGGGAGTGGTGTAATTACCTAAATAAATAGAAGGGAGTTTTTTGTAATTTGACTTTAGTTTAGGAGCGGCCGTAATTTACCCGTAAATAAATAAATAAATAAAAATTAATTAAAAAAGACAAAGAATGTCGATTTCAGGGCCTAAACAACGTCCGATTTGCGCTCTTTGCCCGAACTAGTAAAAAAACGAAGGTAATAATAATATATATATTTTAAATTTAATTTTGAGTTAGATAAAAAAAGCAAAACGCTACCCCATCACACCTCACACTGAGTGGTTGAGTGAATCGTCTTCACTCACTCAACTCAATCTTGACCCCCCATCCCCCACCCACCCACCACCCCACCCCCCCTGCTTTCAATTTCATTTCATTCCTTCTTTCCAGCTCACTACTTTCAAGAAAACAAAAAGCTGCATAAAAAAGTTGAACTAGAAATTTATTTTTGTTTGTGTGGGGGTGGGGGGTTCATCTCATTTGACATTTATATCTGAATCTCCATTTATGTTGCGAAATGTGAATTATTGCCCGAAATGCAGCTGCTAATGCTGCTGCTGCTTCTTCCTCTTCTCCCGTTTTGAGACTGGTTTTTAATTCCATCTCTCTCTGCTGCATTTATTCAAACACCTGTCGTCTGTGTGTGAAAGCTTTGAAGAAGAAGAAAAAAGAACTCTCGTTTTGACTCTCCAACTTCACCATTCTCGATAAATCCCCATTAAAACCTCTGCAGATTCAACACAATTCCTGGGTTTCTTTTCTCTTCAAGGTAATCTCGCCAAACCCTTTCTCTATCTAACTCTGTGTGTGTGTGTTTAATTTCATATTTCTACTCCCAATTCTGTTAATGGCAAGTGAATTTAGTGGCAGATCTGACTGACTGAACTTGTTTACTCTCTCTCTCTCTGTAATGTTCAGATCTTGTAAATTGCAGCACAAACTTGTTCTTCATGTTCATTTACATTCTTGATTTCAATCAATCTAAATTCTCTGTAATCTTCCTTCCTCAGGAAAACCGCGGCCCCACACAATGTGGCCCCACTCTTTCTCACCGTAGTTCTTCTGCCTCTATCCTACGCCGACTTGAGCTCAGAAACCCAAGCCCTCCTCGCATTCTCAACCGCCACCCCTCACGGCAGAAAGCTCAACTGGAGCCCCGCATTGCCCGTTTGTACATCCTGGATCGGAATCAACTGCAGCACCGACGGTACCACCGTCGTCGGCCTCCGCCTCCCGGGGGTCGGTCTCACCGGCCCAATTCCCCAAAATACCCTCGGAAAGCTAACCTCCCTAAAAGTCCTCAGCCTCCGATCGAACCGCCTCAGCGGCAGTCTGCCGCCGGACATCCTCTCCCTCCCTTCCCTCAACTACCTCTTCCTCCAGAACAACAACTTCTCCGGCGACATTCCGGCATCACTCTCCCCTCAGCTCAACGTGTTGGACCTCTCGTTTAATTCGTTGACCGGAGCTATCCCGTTGACTTTCCGGAACCTGACTCAGCTGGCGGCACTTATCCTTCAAAACAATTCGCTCACCGGAGCAATTCCCGATCTTGGTATAACCCGTCTTAGACGTTTCAACGTGAGCTACAACCGTTTCAACGGAACCATACCTACTTCCCTTCGGAGGTTTCCGGATTCTTCGTTCCTCGGGAACTTCTTATGTGGGCCCCCCTTGAGCCCTTGTTCCCGTATCCTACCGCCTTCGCCTTCCCCTACTTCGTCTCTTCCTCATCCGAATAAACAAAGCTCGACGAAGAAACTCCCGATCGGAGCTATAATCGCCATTGCAGTGGGAGGGGCATTATTGGTATTACTCGCCGCCCTAATTTTATTCTTTTGCTGCATTAAGAGAAAGAAGAGCGACAATGAAGCCACGCCGAAGGTCAAATCTTCGGTCGTGGGCCGGACCGAGAAGCCCGGTGAGGAATTCGGGAGTGGCGTGCAAGAACCGGAGAAGAACAAGTTGGTTTTCTTCGAGGGTTGTTCGTACAACTTCGATCTAGAGGATTTGTTGAGGGCTTCGGCGGAAGTTCTTGGGAAGGGTAGTTTCGGAACGGCGTACAAGGCGGTGTTGGAGGAGTCGACTACGGTTGTTGTGAAGAGGTTGAAAGAGGTGGTTGTGGGGAAGAGAGATTTCGAGCAGCAAATGGGACGTGGTCGGGAGAGTCGGGCAGCATCCGAATATTGTGCCTTTACGAGCTTATTATTACTCCAAGGACGAGAAGCTTCTCGTTTACGATTACTATCCGAGCGGAAGCTTGGCTAGCGTAATGCATGGGAATCTCTCTCTCTCTCTCTCTCTCTCTCTCTCTCT